CTCAACTTACAGCAGTACTGTTGTAACCACGCCTGCTTGCGTGTGTCTCAACCTACTGCTGTAGCCACGCTTGCTTGCGTGTGTCGCAAGGTGCACTGCTGTCACCACTAGGCCTGCGTATGTGATCTCAACCTACAGCTGTAGCCACGCGTGCTTGCGTGTGACTGCTGTCGTCGCGCTTACGTGCGTCTGAAGTCTCAAGGACCTTGCTGTAACCGCCTGTCCCGAGCTGTGTCACCCTATGCTCAATATGGTGCAGGCACAACGACTACAGCACCGCGTATACACACATTGTCTCGCGCCAATCACCAGTGGCTTGGACACGAGAACGGGAACGCGAGAGAAAGTGGGCTGGGAGGAGATGGGAGGAGAAGAGGCAACGCAGCGACTGCTGCTGCTGTACAGTCCTGTGGGTGATCCAAAATCGACGATGGTGTAGCGCTGACTACTGCTGCCGTACACATCACACGAACCAACTAACCTCAGCAGCAACATCAACGACCATGCCGACAACCAGGAAACCACCAGGATGCCACTGAGAAGCTTTACAGCAGCACACAAGGCCCCCCTACACGTCCCGCCTCCTCTCCGCTCGCGCTGGCGTTGGGCCTCTCATACGTGGATCTCGTACGCAGCAGCAACGCCTTTCACAGGCGATTAATCTATTTCCTCGACTGCGATGGGGCCCAGCTGCGAGGCTCGCATCATGCCCTGAGTTGTGCATCGAGGGTGAGAGAGGAAGTCACGTGTGGCGGCGTAGTAGCTAGGGTTGAACGCTGGAACCCGCGCAACGCCGCAACGGCTAGCAATGGCTGCCGTCTGTAATCTCGCCGCATTTTTTGTCGGCGGGATTTCCGTACAGGTGAGCAAACAGCAGCCTATCTACCTATCTAGGAATTAGTATTGAGCTCCCGACAATCTGGAACGAGGACCAAATTCCCCCGGATCCTGATTGGCCGGCCCTGACAAGGGCAGAGCCCAATAATGGGGGTGCCTGGTGAGGGCCCAGTTTTGATTGAAACTGGGAACACCACTCCCTTTGGACCCGCTTTCCCCGCTCAGCCTACCAACACTTCATGGCAGAGAGGACGCCTGGCCCCGGGAGAGATGGTGAACATCTAGCGCTGTCGTTATCCGGACCCTGTTGCACGCTTCGTAGGCGGACTCGGGCCGCGGTCCGCGTTCAGGTATTGATTTGAATTTTGAAAGACATCCAAGGTAGTCTACAGCAGTAGGAAGGAGCCCTTTCCCCTGCTGGGACGAACCCCTAGACTGGCCTGCACGCCAGAACTCTCTTCAGATCTGATGCAGCAAAACAGTAGACCGCTTCAGTAAACCTGCATGGATCGTCGTTGTGTACCGTGCAGAAGAATTGGTTCGGGATCGAACAATCATCAAGGTGTGTACTATAATAATAGTCGTGTACACGACTGAGTACAGCAGTATGCACTCAAGATCTCATAGTGTACATGCTATGAATCCACTTGGGAACGTCGAAACATTGGGTGACTGACTTCATCGCGTGTTCTGCAGCCAGAAAGCACCAGAGATGGCTTTGGAGATTTTGAGAGCCGTCCTCTCCTGTACCAATATGTTAAAGATAGGGCGGGGTAATGAGTCGCGGGGCAGCCGACAAATACCTTGCAGTAGTCTATCTGCGATGCTTGTGTGCGGTGGCGGGTGGCCGTCGATCGTCAACAACAACAAAAAAAGCTCCTGGAACGAACCGGCCGTTGGCGTGTGCATAAAGCGGTACCGTATGTGACACAAGATACCACACCCCCTGGACCGATTTCGAAGCTCGGTTGCTCCACACCACAAAGAGTGGCGGTGCCGATAAATCCTCTTCGACGTGGATTACTCGAGCTGTCAAAACCGGTACAGGGGTGTGGTATCTTACGTTACCTACGGTAGACGTCATACATATACGCTCCCCCACCGATTTGGGTTTTCGGTGGTTTCTCTGCACAGAGTGACGCACAGCAATTTGGAAAGCTGTTCGCCGCGAGCTGTGTGTGTGTATGCAACGTTTTGCGTGACGGCTAATAGAGGACGCGGGGCAATAGGACCCACGGAAGCTGAGGTGGCGAGAGTCGGTAAAATGCATGCATGCAAGAAAAAGAAAACACCGCCAAAAACGGCATTTTTCCCGTGGCAAGCACTGGTTTGAATCCAGGTGACCCCTCCCCACACACCGAATCAGCAGCAATGACAATGGCATCCGCCACGAGCTGTGTGTATGGCTCCCTTCCCCCGGCAGGGATGTCTTGCCCCTGCCAGCGTTGTTGCGTGTTTGGCTGAGTGTTTCCTCTGCGTTCCAACTGCGTGACTGCGTGTGTGTGTGTGTGGGAGATCTATGATGCCTTGGCTTGCCTTTCCTCTACAACCACCCGCCCGAGTGCCCCGAGATGCCAACGTGAAACCACATGACGGAGGCGGTCCGCACGATGATTTCTCGTGCGGGGTGTACGTAGACGATTCGCTTTGCTGAAAGTACAACCGCGCGGGGATGGGGTGAGTATATCCTATGGTTTTTGGGTACAGATGCCGGTGAAGCATGGCCATCTGCTGTCGGAGCACGACGAAACCGGTGTGGTGAAGAGGGCCCTATTTTTCTTGTTCGTCACAAGCCAGCAGATCGCCAATCGCATCGGTGCTCTATAGAACTCGTGCTGGTCGAAAAGGATGGAAATTCAGATGGTCGCTTTCAGAAACTTGGGCCCCTGGTAAATAGAGCCTGATTTTTCCTCCTCGGACGGAGGGAAAAGAACGGTCGCGCTTCGCGCTCCGCGGCTCATTCCAAAGGTGACGAGAGGAAAAATCGAGTGAAGAGCAGCGTACCTGTAGACCGTGTTTCACAACACACGTTGCACGCCCGCGGGAAAAGTCATCTGTTACAGCAGGAAGCCCTACAGGGAAGAGTAATAACACCACGTTGAAACCTTAACCGTACTTGAGCCGCGGCAAGGCTCAATCTAGATTAATGAGCGGTGTCCTGCCTAAGGCTACGCAAGGCTCCTCGCCGTCCCTTGTGTCCCCGGGGCTCCGCTACTTTTTGTTTCCCCAACCCTTTTTTTTCTCACAGCTCAAACTGCTAGGTAAAAATCCCGGGCGGTGCCCCCGCCGACTGCTGTAAAAACTCATCTGTCCCCCTCTGGCGCTTAGCCCTGGAGACGCAAAGCTTTACCATATATTTGAAGAAATCATACCACCTTAGCAACCCTGTCGATCAACAATTTGCCGCTTATCAGTTTTAGGCCTTGTAGCGCGAGATCGAGGTGCTTCAAAAAATGCAATTTGAGCACAATCTTCATGCCGAGGTTTCTTGTGAACAAGCTCGGCAACAGTGTGCTTCAGTTGCAGACAGCTACAGCACGCCACTACACTGCTCCAAACTGCCAGAGCCTACCGACATGGTGTGTGAGTGGTGTCGTATGACTTGACAGCAGTAGCAGACAACCAGAAACGGTTCTAGAGGGTGTTCGCGTGAACTGTATGTAGTTGCATGCAGTAGCGCGAAATTTGGCCAAAATGACAGATTTTGTTCTCCACGTGTGTATCCCCGATTCTCAACAAACCGATTAAGCGCGAATGTAGCTGGCCACCGGGTGTTCTCATACTGCAAAAACATGTACTTATATTAGAGGCTTTGGACTTGGCACATTACAACTTTTCGATCTACGGTGCAAATCGTTATTTAAGAGATGTCATTCAAAATATGTTTTTCGGTTTATTTTTTTCGTCCCCCCCGTATAAAGCTGCTTTTGTGCAAATCCCTGACTCTAAATTCGAGTGATTTCGTTTGGTTTGCGAAACCCCGTTTCCTTTTGACAACGATGTTTTTTTGTGAGGAGCCTTGCGTAGCCTTAATAGCGGTAGAACTACAGTACGCATCCGCATATGTCGATACCAAACAGTAGCGCCCTTCTGTGGAGCTAGGTGTTGCCTTTGGCACGATAGATCAACGTGTTGCCGCACCTTTGCAATAGAGTGTCCAGCACGCACCTGTGCTTTTCTCGAGCTTTACACACTCTCGCCAAACAGAAGGAGCGAGTACAGGCAGTGCCCAGCGCCTACAGAGACCCTCACACCCTTTTCCCCCCGCCAACCTTCCCCTCCCGCATGCCTTCTTGCTCTCCCCGTGACGCAAACGGCACGTGACATTTTTTCGGGCCACTCAGGCTATCTACCGTGGCGAGAGAGCCAGAAACCGCGTGGTGCAACCCGCCCTTGACGCTTTCCGTGACGTTTGTGAGAGAATCTCCGCCGAATGTCCCAGTGGCTTGACGACGGCAAGTATTTGCGGACCCGTGAATCTCCCGCGTTGGTTCAGCGACGACCACAGCGGCAGCTCCCGATGCCCAGGTGTTTATGGTTGTGATTTTCATGGCGTTGCTGCTAGTTGTGACTGCAATGCTGATGCCGCTGCAGCTCCTGCTCCTGCTCCTGCTCCTGCTGCGGTTATTGCTGTCGCTGATGCGGCTACAATGCCAACCCCAGTCATCGAGGAGCACCAAATGCAACCCTCTCCGCCAGCCACGCCTTCGCGTCTTGGTCCAGGTGCTGCCGCTGCTATCCTTGCTTGCACTGGCAGCCGCCGAGACCACATCGAGACGACGGAGCAAGAGAGTGGGAAAGAAGAGGAGATCGTGCAATCGAACGCCACAGCAGCCGAAGAACCGAGTCAGCCTGGGCATTGCGGTAGTAGTGGCCTCGGCCTGCCCCAGATCCCAGAGAAATCTACAGAAGGACGCGATCTGATTGGTGGAGGCGATGGTGCAGTAGCTGAACAATTGGCTGGAAGTGATAAACTTCGGCATCAGGAACAGTCGGTGGTGTCGAGCAATGATAAAGAGAAAGCTCTCGGGTGCCGCCTTGCCCCACCACCTTCCGCGGAAAGAGGGGCGACAACGCAAGGAGGAGGCAGCGGCGGCGCTAGTGTTGGACTGCCCGCCGGGAGCACCGTGAAGCGGGGAGAGGTGGATAGCCAACCACCGTTGATGGCCAGGTCTACCACCGCAGCTGAAACGGACTGCTTCACCTACAGCGACGGCGAAGGTGACGGCTTCGCCTCTTCGACACCAGCAAAGAACGCCATCGAGAACTCCGATGTACTCATACCGAACGACGATGCCCCTGCTTCTCCCGAAGTTGTGGTGCCGGTCACGGCTGTTGCACCGCGTTATGGCGCCGAGGGTGGTGTCGTCCAAACGCCATCGTACAAGCAACAGGAACCACGCCGACCTTCGCACGTTGTCGGTGGAATCGTTGCTTCTGTCGCAGGAACCAGCAGCATCAAGTATGGCAAAGACAACGACGATGGTGAAGCGGTTTTCGGTGACGATGTGGCAACCGGATATGAAGACGACGAACACGACAATGACACCCCGGCGGCGGACGACGTGGGGAATTTGAACACAATGGTGACACACACCAGGTCCGGAGGAAACGCGTCACCGGGGCATTCGTGGGATACAGCGAGTGTGTCTGTCCCAAAATCCCAAGGTGGGGGGAAAAATAGTCGAGAAGAAGATTTTCTCGGAGAACGACGAAGCAGACGCGAAGGCAGAAGAAGGCGAAACGCTGATCTTCTGGTCGACGCCTGCACCGCCTCCTCGTCCCCGACTCGAGATGACTCCCAGCCTTTCGGCAGAGAGCGAAGCGGCGGTGAGCGCCTCTGGTCGAGCCTCGCCTTGTCGACCAGCAGTTTTGAAGCATCGCCGCTGAAGGGGGAGTCTATCCCGGCTCTGGCGCTATCCGCGAGAAGCGATTGCTCCACGGCGCGTCGTCTCGGCGATGATGGCGGCGCCGGTGATGACTTCCTTCTGGCGGATGGCGCGGAGGTGCCGGCTATCAGCAAACCATCCTCTTCCATTTCTGTCGGTGTTGGTGACGATGTCCCGAAACCTTTCTTGGCGTGGTTGGACGAGGGCCCACGATACTCTCACCCAGACGACGACCCTGGGGCTGCGGGAGGGCACGACAGACTACCCTTATTCTGCCCTGACATCGATCGGCGAGCAACGGGAAGTGCCGATGTCCAGAAGAGCCACCACCCAAGGGCGCCGCGGACTTTTGCGGCTCACGGTGTCGGCGTACTCCGTGGCCAACACCACGAAGACAGAACACATGAAGTCATCGGAGCAGCGAGCATCGAAGACTGGAGTTCGCGAGAGCTCGAGGAGGAACTACGCCGAATTCGGGGAGCGGTAGAGAGTCGAGTGAGAGTGAGTGCACATGCGTGACCCCTGCAAAAGTCGGGCGGGTGTTGAGAGTGGGTGTTCTACGAGTAAATACATGTTTTACATACAACTGCCTGAACCAGACGCGAACGACCTCCACCTCGCCGATCTGTTCCGGTCGTTTGTTTGGAAAAGACTCCGGCCGGGTGTCGAAAAACTTTCGAAGATCAGGCGTTTTTTGTCGACCAATGAGCACCACCGCGCATTGCTTGCTTCCATTGCTCGTTATTCTTGTAGACTGGCGAAAACGCCGGGAGCTCCCGCACACACCATGCTTTAGACGAAGTCGTTCTATTAGCGCCCTTTTGGAATGTCGTTCTATTTGCGCCATTGTGATGACACACCCCTCGGGCGTTAAGTTTGCGGTGGATACCCCCGCTTCTTCTTGCGTTCACGAAACGCCCTGTTGTGGGGGGCAGAGCGGTGTGTCCAACCCATCTTCTACCGCCCATGAGAGAGACGTCTGATGTAACTTGGTGACATCCGCGCACAGATACAAAGCTCCTTTGGGCTACCTTTTTTTCCCGCGCCCTAACCAGGGTGCCCAACTACGGCCCCTATTTCATCCCGCCGTCTCGTGTGTACTCTCTCGTGCAGTATCTACGCTCCATCATGCAGCAGCCTGGATCCGGAGCGACTTGATTGCTCTTCTTCATGTGACATGGCGACAAGTCTGGTCGGACCCCATCGACAGACGAAAGGAGCATTTCCGGTCGATCCAGCAACAGCAGCAACAAGTCATGCCTGGTTTGGTTCCGCGAACACCAGTCATTTTCTATTCCGATTTGGTAGGAAGTTGTGAACTTGTGTGCGTTAGCTTGTACGGCAGCTACCTCATGTCCTCAATCGGACCTCCAGGAAAAGACAGCTACACCGCCTTCTGCCTCTGAATCTCCCACTGCTTGCACGCCCCCAAGCTTTTCATGGGCTTGGGTGGACGGTCGCAAGTTTTTGCTGTAAGCTTTGTGCTTGGTTTCTCTTAGTGTGGGAGATGTACGTGCTCCCGGGGTTCGCCTTGATTGACGGTTCAGAAAGTCGGAGAGGTCGTTGGTTACTCACCAGGAAAATGTTTTTGGAAACGAGAGCGGTGGACCCCACGTTGACGTGATAACACATCTGATGGTCATCATGCGGGACAGACTTTCAATACTCCGGGCCACAGCACCCAAATCGTGTCGTCTTATCCTGGCGCAACACCCGGCGGCACTTTCTCAAGCTCGGACTTCCATGAATACCGTCTACTCAGACGTGCTGATGTTCTCGTATATGTTGCAACCCAAGCACCGCGTGTGCGAAACGTGTACTACGTGCGCAAAATAACTCGATGAAGACTCCTTTTTAATCAATTTTACGCGTTGGGTGTGGGCCGAAAATCCAAAAACATTTCTGTCAGAATGTGTCAGCTACAAACTCGCAACAGAATGTGTCAGCTACAAACTCGCAAGCAAGAGCGTCACTGTTGCCTCCGGGGACTTGTCACGCTGGCGATCAAATTCGCCGGACTTTCGTCAACAACCCGAACGCGTTCGATGGTGCCACAATTGATCGAAAGATGCACGAGGCGGATAGACGCGGAAAACTCCGTGGACCAGCCGTTCTTGAAGCAACATACCCGAACAACAGTAGGGGGAGCAACCGTCTCAGCTAGGTACGCATGTTCGCATACCGTTACGGGGTGGAATAGCCTGATGCTCGTCAAGGCAACGGACTCCAACCCGTGGAAAAAAGAAACGAACCGCTGCGACCAGTGGAAAAAGACAAGAGCCTATATTTCTACACCTAGCCTAGAGCCTAGACTACGCGACGTCCCTAGTGGTGGAAGAGCCTGATGCCCGTGAAGGCCATGGACATGCCGTACTCGTCGCAAGCCGCGATCACTTGCTCGTCCGCTACCGACCCGCCTGCCTGGGCCACGTAGGACACCCCCACCTGTAGTTACGTCCAACGAGGCAGGTTAGGGAAGCGGTGGGCAGCCACGGCGGGGGTTAATCATGTCGTTGTGTGTGCGCCAATGTGTGCGTGCGCACAGCGTGAGCCAAAACGAGTGGTGTGGAAAGAGATGAGAAAACCTGTCACACGGCAACACCAGGACCCACAGCAACACCGACCTCCCTCCGACCCTTTACACCGAAAAAACTCCAACAAGCAGACTGACAAACCCAAGCTCAACAGCCTAGAGAGAGCTGAACCTAATACCACTATAGTAGACACCAGAAACAAAACAACGACAACCGTACCGACCTATTATACATGTAACTCAACAAAACAAAAACGAAGGCTTGCTTCCTCCCGCGATACCTTGGAGGCGTGGTCGATGGAGTCGCGGAAGGGGAAGAAGGCGTCCGATGACAGGCTGACGCCCGAAAGCTCTGCGAGGAACGCGTCCTTCTCCTCGGCCGTCAGGGCCTCCGGCTTGGCCTCGAAGTTGGACTCCCACGCCGGCCGCTCCGACGCGGTGATGTCACCCTCGATGTACCTTTTTTCGCGCGATCGTGGGTCGCGTGTTACTGGGGTTGGAAGGCAAGCTCTATTTCCCCGATGCAGTCGAGAACAAAAACAATCCCAAGGCAAAAAAGACTACAACCCCCCCCCATCAGCTGGAAGTGAGAGCTCGGTCGAAAAAGGGTCTGACCCACAAAATGCATCAATACCACGCTCGCCCTCCCTCCCCCCCCTCCATCCCTTCATCCAGACTTGGCCGTAGATTTCTGCGGGTAAATGAGAAAAAACGCCGTCGCCCACGCACCTGACGCGCGCGTTGACACGGTCCTGCCTCTTGGTCCCGTCCTTGAACTGCAACCCCTGTACCTTGGGGTGGTGCCTCAACCACCACACGGATACCTGCACCAGGCAGTTTGTCCGGGGGGGGGCAGCAATCAACTGAACCGCTGACGAGCGATGCGCTGCTGAGCCCCGGCGCGAAACATCCACTCATGCGCCAGCAACAATACACAGAGAGCAAGATGAGTAGCAACAGCAGCAACGAGGTCACCACCCCACTCAAATCATCACCGCAAAAACACGCACAAGACTATTTAGCGCACGCACACACGGGCAAACGCATACATGCGCGCACGTACCTTTCTGGCGGCGAGCTTCACGCAGTCGACGCGGCTCTGCTGCCCGGCCCCGACGCCCACCATCTGCCCGCGCTTCGCGTACCCCACGGAGTTGGACTGCGTATACTTGGCGCAGATGGAGGCCACCACGAGGTCGCGCTGGGCTTCCTCGGGGAGGGTGCTCTTCGTGCGGACGTCCTGCAACGCGCGCCCGATGAGGGAGAGAGAGAGAGGGAGTCGGCCGAGCGCCGCGCGTTACGTGAGAGGGGGGCTATTTTGACGGCGTGTGGTGTCCTTGCGCGTTGATTTGGTGGGAAAAGCTGAGCCAAAAAAAATAGAAAATACCCACTAGAACGTCGGTTGAGAGACTTACGTGGTGGTTGTTGTGTTACTTTTTTCCGTCGGCTTTCGTGGGCGTTTTGCGGCGAGAGTAACGAATAATATCCCCAACAACTACAAGACCCGAGAGTGGATGAACGTGTGCTGACCTTGAGGTTATCCTTTCCGAACGCAACCGAGTTCCTGTCCTGGTAGAAGCCGACGCCGTACACCTCGCGGAACTCCCCCGCGGGAGCCTCGTAGTCTGGCTTGGCCTCGAGGACGATGAACTTGCCACCCTTCTTCTTTTTAAGGATCTCCAAGGCAGCAGGCTCGTACCCGGGGGCGATGATGCCGTCGGCAACCTGCACATGAATGCGATGCGTGTGGATGTTAGTCGAAAGTTGCGTGGCCAAAAAGGGAAGCAGACAAGTTCGTGAGGGGAGTGGGGCACGACGTTACACGAGACAGGCATAGATATTGAACGGGAAAGCTGGGAAGAGAAAGCCTTGCGTTCTTTTTCAGTGAAAACACTGATCGAAGGCCTTAACGTCCACTGTTTGAGTAGACAACACGGACTGCACCTGCACCCTTGACAAAGAAACCAAACCCTACTGAATCCCCAGTTTCCCTTACCGTGCCCCTACCGCCACCTACAGGTTGGCGACCTCAGCGATAGCATCGCTTCCAACACCCGCAGCGGCACATACCCTCACCCCTTTTTCCCCACACGCCTCGAGAACGACCACCCACCACACACACACCCATAACATATAACCTTCCCATAACCCTACCGCACACGCGGGCATTGTCAGCCCAACAGACAACGACCGCCGGTTTCCGTGGACGAAAATAAACACGAAAAGATAAAGATAGGGTGCTGGTCTTAGGGTGTCAAGGGCCTGCCAATCTCTCAACACGTGTGATGCCTACAACTAGAACAACAACGACGACGACCACGACGACAATATTCTTACCTCCCTCTTGAGGACCTTAGCGGTGGCCTCGTCCACCACGTCCGACACCGCGGCGAAGTCTCCGAAGGACGACATGGGGTCGGCGTTGCGCGCTCGGATGTAGGCGATCGCAGTCGGGGTCATCTCGACGGTGCCCACCTATGCATACGTATATTGTTGTAGGTGGGTGTTGGAAACAAAGGCAGACCGTCGTTGAAGAGGTGCGGCACGCATTTCGTGTTGCATAGGGCAAGAAAAAGAATATATGCTGTCTGGGAAATCGTAGACATACAGGTACTTTATGACGCTATGAATTCATTGCTAATCTGTCTCAGACTATTTTCTATGATAGAGATGGATTCGCTGTGTCATATTAAGAAAAAAAAAAAAAAAGAGCACTGTAGTACGTACGCACATTTTGGAGCGCCCTTCACATTTTGGAGCGCCCATCATTGCAACCTGAAAAAACGGCAACCACCTCTTCAGATCGCAAGTAATAGCCTTTGCCGTTCGAGTGAAAGCTGCTGTTCAAGAAAAAGCAAACAAAAGGAATAAACACCATCAGATCTTCTATCACACCACAGGAAATACAAGTAAGTAGACATTAGAGCAACGGTAGAGGATAGGGGTCTAGACAGATAGAAGTAGAACACAGAGACTAATGTGCTTTGAGCTAGTGACGGGCCAAATGGAGTGAATCGAATTTGGATAGAAAGCACAACCCATTGCGGTATTAAGGGTGCTACTATAGCACAGGCTTAGACACCACAGCAGGATGGAGGTAAATAGTGGTGATCTGTCGCCTCCTTGTGCAAGTACTTCAACTCCGGAGACTGGACCCTGTCGTGTGCCCGTCCAACCCGCCCTAGCGATGGAACCCAACGACTAGAACGCGTATTCGCGAATATTGTCCCACCGTAACACCGACCTCTTCTCATCGGTCACGTCACGGAGTACTGTAGGCGGGTCCGATGCCAACGAGAGAAAAACGCACACTCGACACACACACAAACGTGTAACCCCCCCCTGACGAAGCGTGTCTGATCGTCTCTATTTTGTCCCCGCTACATCACAACGGTTTTCAACACGCAGTCGGTGCGAACAAATGTAAAGATACACACACACACGCCCCCACGGGGTGTCCCAGATCATGGCCTTTGGAAACAGTTCATTTGAGCATTTGATGTTTTCAGCCGCACTGAGACTCGAGTCTTTCCCTTAGTTAGGTGTTTCGCGTCTTTTCCTTAGTTAGGTGTTTCGCGTCTTTTCTTTAGATAGGTGTTTAGCGTCTTTTCCTTAGTTAGGTGTTTCGCGTCTTTTCCTTAGTCAGGTGTTTAGCGCGGTCTGTGACGCTACTGGCCTAAATCAACACGCCTACCAAAACTCGACACACATATACACACACCTCGTAAGCGGCTATCTCCTCCTCGCTGAGCGGCACGGCCACCGCCGCGCCGGCGGGGCTGACGTGCTTGAACGACGCCGCGGCGGGCAGTC